GAGCAGCCCAGATGTTCACCCCCTCACCAGGCTCCGAGGGCAAACCTGGAATGCCTGCAGAGCAGGTCTCAGGGCCTTCCCAAGGACAGAGAGAATTGGGGTTTGGCAGGAAGCAAATGGGATTTGGAGTTAAGTAGGAATGCCTCAGGGTCCATATGATGGCTCTTAGGAGTTCAGTAACACAACTGGACTCATATGGGAACCTTCCTCTGTATGCTGAGGACACATGCTCTTGTATCCATGAGCCAAGCTAGATGAGGCTGTGGAGTGGTTTGTGATTTGAAGACCTTGTCGGGGTTACCTGTTTCTCTGTCTCTAGTAGAAGAAATAAATAAACCTAAGAAAAATTTAGGGGGCCAGCTGGTTGTGTGGTGATTAAGGCAATAGATTCCACATGACCTACTATGCAGTTCAAATTCCAGGTTCTCTGGCTTAAAAAACACACCAGGTACGTGTGTGTCCATGGCCAAAATCCCAAACGGAGGGAGAAAGGGAGAAGTGATTGTGGCATGACTGTCCCTCATGGAGAGTATTTTCTCACTTTCTCTCTGTCTCTCTTTTCTTTATCCTATTGACACAATCTCTAACAAAACAAAGAACATGGTAACACATGACCTGGTTTGCTTTCATAAAGATACCTCTGGCTGCTAAGGATGAACAAGTACAGGCAAAAGTCAAAAAAGAAAGATAGGCCAAAAAGGCTGTTAAAATACTACAGGCTAGAAGTGAAGGTAGCTTGACTAGGGAGGTAGCAATGTTGATAGAGAAAAGTTGACAGGTTCAGAGCATATTTTAAAGGCAAAACCAATGAAACTTGGTGGGTTGGCTGTGTATAGAAAGGAGTTAAGGATAATGCCTTAACTTGGAACCCAGGTATTCAGTAAACAATAGTACCATTTACCCAGTTTGGGAAAACTGGAAAAGGAACATATTTAGAGGACAGTTGGGAATCAAGAGTTCTGTCTTAAATGTGATTTAGAAAAGCAAATGGATATAAATTTTCTGTTGACTGAATGTGGGTCAGTTTTAGAATCCATTGGAAAGATAGGCTTTGGGCTGGAGAAAGGAGGGTTATCTGGGTTCAAAAAGAGGGAGGTAGAGGAGGAAGAATCTAGTTCAAGTTGGCAGAGAAAGTGAGCATTACTTTTAAGGGTGAGCCCTGATTCTTCCATTCAGTACCCTGCTGTGTCCTCACACTTCTGAGTCAGAAAATTGGGAAAAGGACAGTATCTCAAGGTGGCGGCTGATTGTGGTACAGGAGATAATCCAAGTGTCCCTATGGGGTTGAGCAAGACAAGGAAGATGTCAGGTAGGGAAA